TCTCGAGCTATTTCAGGACAGTTCAATGACCTCGCCGAATCAACTTACACACACATATATAATATATATATATATATATATATATATGTCAGCGTTAAATTGTATAATTCAATTAAATCGTGGAGATTCTAGGTTTTACCTTAAATAACTTTAGAATTAACATAAGGCTATTAGGTAACGTATAAAAATAAAATTATTTCTTTCTATATTTTTTGAAAACCAAGGTTCCGTTAGCCGTGCTTTTCTATCGAATCTAATCTTCGGATTACATTTTAATATCATACCTTAAAACACACTACTCGCATCTTATAAATTTATATATTACCTAGTTGATTTGTAGTTTAATATTATCTGCCAGTGGATAAATCGAATTAATCCCAGAAATTACCATATCGCCGAATGCTGAAGCGTAGTACAAAGTCGAACAAATTTAATTAGAGAAACTCGTACTCGCGATTTTACTCCCGACACGATTCATTCCGCTAAAGGAAGCACGCTTGTTTTAAAGTATCAAAGAATTTCATTTATGTTGTTAACTTGTTAAACACGCGTCACCTTGACGTCTTTGATTACTATTGTTTAGTGAAAATCTCACATGGATATATACGCGAAGCCCACGGACATGAAGTTTTAAGAGATGAGTATCAGAGTATCGGATGTTAATTAATACTTATTTTCATATAATGCGAGAGCTTTCAATGAAAACGAGAAAGAAATAGAGAGAGAGAGAGAGAGAGAGAGATAGAGAGAGAGAGAGAGAGAGAGAGAGAGAGAGAGAGAGAGAGAGAGAGACGGTCCAAACTGTTTTCTGAAAATCCTCCTGTTTTATTCATCCAACCGAAAAACTCATGAATTATACAATCGGTACTTTAAATTAAATGCATTATACAACAATAAACCACTCGTATTTTATCTACTATTTTTCCAACGGGAAGCTGATTAATCAGTTTAAAGGATTATTCGAATAATCGAAGCCATTCTTATGCACGTTTATCGATTTCATTTATTTCTTTCGAATTCTCAAGAAATTTGAGAGAGAGAGAGAGAGAGAAAGAGATGAACGCGTAATTGTAACATATGTATCTTTTTGAGCGTAATTACGATTGGAAATGAGCAGGTAGAAATGAATTACAAAAATAAGATAATCTAATAAAACTTGTATTTTTAATGTGAAAAAATATGTTGCTAGTTAAAGAATATATAATCTGGTTATACTTAATGTTTTACGTGAAGATAATACTATATACGTTTATCTTCTAAAGAACATTGTGAAACTACCATTGAAATACAGGTAAACGGAAACAAAAGCGATATTATGCAGGCTATTTTATCCTACCGGGAGTAGATACATCCGCTTAGTACGCCCCTTTCTTTTATATATCATACCAACACGGATATACTTGTATATTTATTCCGTCAAACTCGATTCGATTATTAAAATATATATTCGGTGATTATGCATTTACTGTTTCATCATAATGAATAAAAAATAAATACAAAAGGGAACAAATCATCGATGTATCATCTCAATAAAACTGTTAAAAAATGTTCAACTTGTTCTATCTCGTTGATGATATTATAAAGAATAAAAAAAATAAAGAGAGAAAAAAATAAGAGAAAGAAATAGTGGGAAAAAGGGAAAGAGACATAGTTGTAATTTCATTCTTTGTCATACGACGGACAGTCTATTTACAGCAAACCGAGTCGAGAGTGAGTATATATACTCTATAGATACCGAAACGTTTCTAGTAGAACGACGAAGAGGCTTTCAATAATCGAACAATAGCTCTGGCTTGCTGAAGAATATCGCAATTATTCCTCCGCTATGCGGTTTGAAAAAGCGCGTGATCGATGAATTTCAGAAGATTGGCGAGTAGTTCCTATACTCGGATGTACGTACGCATGTCCCTTTCTTTCTCTCTCTCTCTCTCTTTCTCTTTTTTTTTTCCCTATTCACATTTTTGTTCGATTATTCGCAGGAAACAACAAAGGAGTAGCCATTGTGCTTCTCCTACGCAGAAACTTTTTTCCCCCGTAAGATAATGGTAGAACGTTAATGACAATTCGTGGCTAACAATTGCAATTTTATTCCCATAAAATGGGGGGACGTTTATTTCCCAACACTTCGGATTCGATCGATGATGCCTTTAATAATTGCATCTCTTTTTTTTCTTTTTTCTTGTTTTTTTTTCACATTATCCTTATAAGGAATATATTTGAAGCTTAAATTAAAGGGTCTTTAGGTGGTTCTACGTTAAAATGACGGCGCGAAAGTTTTCGTTCTTAACATTTAACGCGAAGACTTTCGTGATGTTCATATCCCGAAAGGAATCTTACTCAGATACGAACAACTCTCGTTCCTTTTCTCTCTCTCTCTTTTATGAACCACCACTTTTCTCTCAACTCCTAGGACCTCCTCTCCTCTCTTTTATTCTCTCTCTCTTCTCCTCTGTTTACTTCGGCATCACAATTACATATTCAACGATCGCTTCTGAAATCGGACGACGGTCTGCATCATTAATCATGGATTTGCATAATTTTAATTAAAAACTACGCGAATAGTCTCCAAACAAATTTCATTAATATCTTTTGGTAAGCCTGTTACGTGACCTTAACTGATATCCCCACTTTTAAACTAATTTCTCTCTCTCTCTCTCTTATTTTTTATTTAAGTATTTGATCAAAGATCATTGTGAATTAATAAATTCATAAATTCGTGATTCGAGATATCAGGAGAAAAGAGCATGGACACGCAAAATTGAAACGTCAAAGTAAACTCACACTCGCATATATGTGTTAAACGAAACGTAGATATCTCGCTTGAACAAGTAAGTAAGCAAGCAAGCAAGCAAACAACAAAAGGTTCGGATCGATCTTTCGTGCTCGCCGGGCGACGATTAATTCCAATTTATTGAGCTTTACGAAGGACTGCAGGAGAGGAGAAGTAAGGTAAGGTAAAGTAAAGTAAAGTAGAGTAAGGTAAGGCAAGGCAAGGTAAGGTAAGGTAAGGTAAAGTAAGGTAAGGTAAGGTGAAGATATTTTGTCGCGAGTCGCTCAGAATAAAACATAAGAAGGAACGACGAAAAGTGTGAGAAGATGCGGTAGGTTGATCTCATAAAGATTTCGATGTAAGTGAGTAAGATGTGTATGTATGTTGTATGATCTTACTTGATGTGTCATATACACTCCGTAGGTAAATCGTGCTTGGCTGAGTGTACAACATTCTGACTGTAAAGGGTTAATGATAAGATTTAAATGGTGCAGGAGTCAAAGCAAGTGTCGTTTCAGGGACGACATACGTCTGTATTTATACATAGAGAATGAGAAGAAAGCGAGGGAAAGAGAGAAAGAGAGAGGAAGAGAGATCGTCGGGAAAGCAGAATGGATAAAGGTAGAGGAGAATGGCAAACGAAGGCTGAAACGCATCATGAACTGGCTCTATACGAGAGTACTATCTCTCTCTTTTTTCTTTCTTTTTCTCTCTCGTGCTTTCTATCTTCTTCTCTCTTCTATCTTAACGGCTCGCGGCGGTTTTTTTTATCTCCTCGTAAAGCTGTACACCGTGATCTCTCAAAGATACAGAACATTTTTTTTTTCTTCTCAGTAGTAGATACACCACTAGAAGAGCGCAGACCGTTCCTGTTGGTGGTTAAGACTGACGATATCAGTGATAGTGTAATGGTAATGCTAGTGGTGGTGGTAATGGTAGTGGTGGAACAGCCGCTGGTGGTTCCGGCTTGTTCAAAGAAGAGCCGAACTCGGTCAAGCTGCCATTTCGCCAAGTCACTCGCGGTCTATCGTGTTAAAAGTATTCTGGTAGGGTAAGCTTGCGCTCGCGCGCTCACGATGTACATACGAAAAGCCGGAAATACGGACAAACACGTACCGGCTAAAGATCCATTACCGTTCTCTTAACGTCGTCCCGGACGAGCTCGTTCGTCCCGTCCTAATTCTCGACCTTTGCTCTCTTTTTCCTTTATACATATACTCCTTACCAATACCACTATCCTTTCACTAGTTATACACCTACGACTAACCACCTACCATCATTTTGCACAGCTTTTTAGTTATATTTATACATTTTTTTTTGCGGTCACCGACTCATCCCTCTTTTTCTTTCCTTTCTTTCTTTACCCTTTTCATCAACTTTCATACGTGTCCAGGTGTTGCTGCCAAGCACAAAAATTGTAAACCACAGCTTTTAGTTAGAATTTATACGTATTTTTCTTCTGTTCATCAAATCACCTCTCTCTCTCTCTCTCTCTCTCTCTCTCTCTCTCTCTCTCTCTCTCTCTCTCTCTCTTTTTCTGTCTTTCAATTTTCCTTCACTCTTTTCACCAACTTATCTAAACGTCTAGAAATTAAGAGTCAGGAAAATATCAAGTTAACGGGATAAAACTGTGAAATAAACGAGTTACTAGGTTTTCTCAAAGTAAAACACGCGTATCTTATAGGAGAACGCGAATATTATTGTCCCTATTGCATTTTCTTCCAAGCGTCTCTCGCATCCAAGTTCGTCTTTTAGATAAGGAGACGGCTTGTAGTTGCGGATTCGCGAGAGATCGTCACTACCACCACAATGACCGCGCCATCATCATCATCATCATCATCATCACCACTGACATATTTCAACGAAACCCTGCGTCATTGTCAGCAACAATTGTAACGCGACATCGATTTCCTTGGGCAACGACGCGAGACATATAATCGATCATGCGTAACCTTGCGAATTGGCGCCTTGTCCGTCAAATTTCCTCTTCACTCAACACCTTCCAGTCATTTTATTGCTTTATTTTATTGAATCTTAAACTAGTCCTAGTTGTCTATTTATCATTAATCAAAATTTGCTATTATCGTCATAATCAGCACATTACTTATTTTCTTTTATAACACAATTTCACCTTAAGTTTTTATTACATATATTTTTTTTCCTGTCTTTTCTGTTTTTTTTTTTTTTTTCCTAAACATCGGGTTTATGTTTTATTATCGTTCGATCTTACCTCGGCCGGTGGTTTTCCAGCAACACTAACGCATTCGATAACGAGTTCTCGATCCTCGGTCGTCACAAGAAAGTCTCCCTGGAGGATCTTCGGTGGCTCGGGCGGCACCAGCACGCTCAAACGAGCGAATCTCGATCGTAATGCTGGCTGACCGTCATTCGTTGGCGAAGCCTGGCACTGATAAACGCCGTCGTCCTCAAGCTCTACCGGATATATGTGTAATGAAAAATCACCTGAAATCAAAATACCTTAGAGTTAATATAATCTATGGATTCGGATCTTCGGTTGATGATAAAACGAAACGAACAAATAAAAATACAAATTGCGAACGATTGGGCCGCCCTTACGGTTCGATCCCGCGAAATTGATAAGAGCTACGATGAAAACTTTCGCGATAGATTGGAAGAAGAAAAAAAAGACGAGCAGGGAGGGAAAGAAGGAATGGATTATTTTTATTTGAAAATCTCGGCGCGTGTACGTACATGTAAGCTGCCAACTGCAAAAGCATTTCTGCTATGTATATAACATACATACTGTGATCGACGAATTAAAGTGTCCGCTCGTACTAACGCAGAAGGTTTTGAACAGGTTAACAGCCAGCGGCCTGTGCCAACAGCCCTGGTTGATAAAAGCTCTCTCTCTCTCTCTTTCTCTCTCTATCTATCTCTCTCGCACTGTTTCTCGTTTCCTCTCGTTCACTCGTCAAATCGCGAGAACGCATTCGAGCGACGTCTCGATGGCAAAGGATCACGCTGGAATAAATTCGTCTCGATGCTCGGTTTACTGTTTTTTCAAGCTACGTTCGATCGTACAAACTCGTCACCCCGAAGGGAGAGAAACGGCTGAAACTACCGCTCTCGAAGAGAAACCTAAAGTAAACAGGGCTGAATCGATGAAAACCGTACAAAAAAAAAAAAAAAAGAAAAAAAGGATGGAAGAAAAAGAGAAATGACGAAAATATGTGCCTGAATTGTTATGGGTTTTTCCTGTCTTCCTCTTTTTCTCTTTGTATATGTGTGCGTGTCTCTCTCTCTCTCTCTCTCTCTCTCTCTCTCTATCTATCTATCTATCTATCTTTCTCTTATGCATAGCTTTCCGCTCCACCTTCCACGACGACGAATAATTCTTGCAATAAATTGCACCCTTAACGATGCCATACTACGTGGTGCATCGAAACGATCCTTTTGGTTCACGTTCGATAAAACGTACGCGTTGTGTGCTCGTAATGCCATTCGATCCATTATTGTACGGGCTTTCTCTATAACGAGAGAATTTAATCGTCGATCGTACGTTACACGATCCCGGAAATCCAAACGGATCGTTAAATAATCCGTACTTCGCCTAAGCTTCGAATACGATTTGTAAGAGAACAACTCCTCGAATCGATTACCAGTATTATGTTCTTGTAGGAATTTGTTCTTTTATTGTTACGACAAAGCGAACAGTATGATTATTGACCAGTTCCTATAATCATTAGTACAACGACTGCTTTTATTTTTTTTCCCGATTGACTAAAGAATAAATACAAAAAAATAGATTTAAATGTTAGTTACTTTTCTTTTTTATCAATTGCCCCTTTTTGATAACTGCATATAAATAAATGTCTACGAAAAGAGAAAAAAACAATTAAAAAGAAAAAAAAACGATCAAAATAGACACTCACAGACACTCTAGCAAAAACTATAGAGGATTGAACGATCGAGTAACTCGTAACAACCGGTATTACGCGGGACAGCTATTAGCCCTTCTCTAGTCAAGTACAACGAACGAACTTTCGAAACACTCTAGCACTCGAGTTCGCGTTTCCGTAGCGAGCTGCGATAATTAACTTTCGCGCGAAACCTTGCCACCCCCTCTTTTCACTTTACCTCTCCTACCTCTCTGTGTGAAATCTTTTTAACGAATATATAACATACCTCTATATCTATGTTAGCAAAAGCAATTCGAGGAAACTGTTAGACTGAAAGAGAATTGCGCTCGTATACGATATAAGCGAATGATAACGATACTTAAACGTTTCAATCGTCGACACTTAGGTTTAGAAAAGTTTTCAAGTAGAAAGACGACGTCGTTATCGATAAAGAAGACAAAGTGCATGAATAAATAAAAAGAGAGAGAGAAATAAAGATAAAGAAAGAAGAGTAAAGGTCTAGACGAGAAAAAAAAAAAAAGACAGAGATGGTCTCCATACGTAAACAACGTATCACGAAAATTTACCTCCGGAACACAGAGTCGCATGATCACGAACGTTTGTAATTAATATTAATTATTTGAATCACCTAACGAGTAGTCTAGTGTAAACGGTCGTGATTAACTACAATTCGTTCAAAGAAGGATCGGTCTTAAACTCTAGAGACCTGTCTATACGTTTCTCTATACGAACCTTTACGTGTCTATGGAATTCCTCTGTGAAATTACGACGAATATTATTCGGCATGTTTTTGCTTTAATTATCGACACAACGAAATTGATGACGAATGCATCTACCCTTTTCGAAATTACTCGCTAACGGAATTAACGTACTCCCGTTTATTTACAACGTAATACGTCTTCTCTAGGAGCTTTGTATAAGGTCTTACTTAGTTCCTGCATACGCATCGTAAATATATATATGTATATATAAATGTATATATAATATACTCACACCCACATACACGCGTGCACGCGGATACACATTCATGCAAGTATCAAATAGATACTAGAAATATCGCTTAGATGGGTTTGAGTTGCACATGTATACATGTATGTGTGCTGCATCTCAGAGCGCACAGGTGAATTTGGTGCATATAACTTATGCGGGTACTCAGCTTTTCACGTTGCAAAAGGCCAGACATTTTATGCTTGAAAGAACGTAAAACTGGAAAAGTTTGAAAATGTTCGTTCTGTACGTATACGAAGTATGTAGGGAAAGAGAGAGAGAGAGAGAGAAAAAGAGAGAGTAGACAACCCTGTGCATAGCAAGTTTTCTCCTATTCTTTTCTCCTTGCTTGCTTGGATTCGTCGTTACATTCTGTCTCTCTATCTTTTAGTCTTTCTCTCTACTCTTCTTTTTCCTTTCTTTGTCTCCCTTTATTTTCCATTTTCGTATTCATGCGTATATGTTTGAGGTTTCATCGACGTTCTAGAAAATGTTAATACTATTACTATTATTATTAAATGGCGTTAGAAACTCGAAAAATCATTGTCGCAAATACTAAATCCTACCAATGTTCCTATCCCTGTGCAAGATCCCTCCATTCGCGACCTTCGTGCCCCATTTCGCTAATAAGATCTATGTTTACGTTAATTTATTCAATAAAAAAGAATACAACTATTTTTATATTAATAATTCGAACATTATTTGCATTGATTATCATCATATGTACGATTTAAAACGATCGTAAATTATATTATATTTGAAATACGCGGCCCTTAGTCATTTAGGGAATTGAGATGCGCTAATTTTCGCGCCGTCCCAACGCACGTCCTGGTGGGTCCGCTAACAAAGGCACTCTTTCTATTTTTCCGCTGGACGCCCACGAGAACATATTTTAAGCGACAAAGTAAATGAAACACATCACGTGTTTTATTTGTTATTTTAATTTAACCTCTTATCTTCCTCATCACTAGCTTATCATAATTACCAGAGGACTCCATGTTGGAGGAATTTGCGTACATACAGATTTTGATATATAAAATAAGGAAATTTTTGCACCAGTTCAACACGCGTGTGATTATTCTACATTAATCGAATCGATCGGAAAATAGGTTGTTAAAACAATGACGATACACGAATTATGAATGATCACGTTAAGATTAGTCAAGTTCGTAGAGCTGCGAATAAATGTGTTATGGATAGTCGGACGGTATGCCGACACGGATTTGCACGATTAAAACGAATATTCCAAGCACGAGAGCATAGCGAACGTGTCAACCTGCGCTATTATCGACATTATTATTTCGGCTAATTGGATCGCAATTTCCGTTATATCCGACGATGCGCTTTCTGAATTATGCGTTAGTAGCATGCGCACGCTGGCGCACCTAGGGACTCGTTCGCCAAAGCTTTATGAAGGTGGTATCCGCGAATCGAGCGAAAAACCGCAACCAACGTAAAGAGGCGGAAAACGTATTCTAACGAATTTTCCTCGTATCCGAGTACAATCGCGTTAAATGGAATTTTAAATGACATCGGCGATTAAACGACTAGATAGATAGATAGATAGATAGATAGATAGAGAGAGATAAAGAGAAAAAGAAATAGAGAATGAAACGACTCTATGCAAACATTCGACCGAATAAAAACGTCCGATGTTTTTGGAACTTGTGATATTTTCCAATTCGGAAAAAATAAATTAGCATTTTTTTTTGACTTTTTAGTATGCAGTTGCATTTGCATTTGCAGTTGCAGTTGCAGTTGCATTTGCAGTTGCA